AATATTCACTCTCCGGCCACTTTATGAGGTACACGTTGCTATTAGAGTTGCCTTAATTCTTCATGGCATGGATTCAACAAGGTGCTGGAAACATTCCTCAGAGAGTCCTAGTCCACATTGACATGACAGCATCATAAAGTTGCTGCAGATTTGTCAGCAGCGCATCCATGATGCGCATCACCACATCCCAAAGATGCTCTGCTGGATTGAGATGTGACTGAACACCATTTAAGTATCGTGAACTCACTGTCTTGTACAAGAAACCAGTTTGAGGTGTTATCCTGCTGGAAGCAGCGACCAACATATGGATACACGGTGATCATAAAGCAATGGACATAGTCAGCAACAGTATTCGTGTAGGCTGTGGCTCAGTTGGTACTTAAGGGCTGATAAGCTGATAAGAAAATATACCCACCAGCAGCTGTGGAACTGTTGATACGAGACAGGATGGATCCATGCTCTCATGTTGTCTACACCAAATTCTGACCCTACCATCTGAATGTTATGCAGAAATGCAGCCTCATGAGATCAGGCAATGTTTTTTGAATCTTATATTTTCCAATTTTGGTAAGCTCGTATGAATTGTAGCCTCAGTTTCATGTTCTTACCTGATAGGACTTCGTTTGGTCTTTTGCTGCTGTAGCCCATCTGCTTCAAGGTTTGATGTGTTGTGCATTCATGATGTTCTTCTCCATATCTTTGTTGCAGTGCATGGTTATATGAGATACTGTTGCCTTCCAGCTTCTCCTCTGTTTCTCCTCTGATCTCTGGTATCTACAAGGTATTTTCACCCAGAGATCTGTTTTTTTTTAACCATCCTCTGTAAAAACTGATTGTGTGGGAAAATCTAAATAAATCAGAAGTTTCTAAACACTCACATCAGCCCATCTGACACCAACAGCCATGCTGTTTAAAGTTACTGAAATCACCTTTTTTCTTCCCCATTTAGATGCTCATATTGAAATTTATCTTCACTATCCCTAAGTGCATGGAGTTTCTGTCATGTATTTGGCTGATTATATATTTGTGTTAACAAGCTGTAAAATAGGTACCTAATGGATTGGCAGATGAGTGTATTTTATTTTATTTTTTTTACATTAGACATCACGTCTAACATAAGCTCAAAAACAGACTAACAACTCAAAATGTCCCCATATTTCCATACATCACACCCAAACATTGCAATTTATTCCCAGGACATGCGCTACATGTGAGCACACCCAGAGGTCTTGGAAAAGGAAAATGTGTAATTACTAATAAGTACATTTAAATACTGCATAAAGCAAAAGGTTTCAGTTTGAGAAGTGTCCTAAATATTTGTGTCAAATGGTGCCATTGACAAAGAAGTACAGCCACTCGCTCTTACAGATCCAGACCCAACCAGATAAAGGCGGGCTTCATGCATGTGTAAACACTTTCAAAGGCCAACATTTTTGGATGTTATAGATGTTTAATGTATCTATGTTAAAATGCAAACCACTGATACCTTGGCCTTGGCACTGCTTACTGCTCATAGGATGATGACAGTGGTAGCCAATTAACACTGGGATATCCAAGCCAGGAAGGGCAGAGTGAAAGTCTTTCCTCTTTTGGCAGACTCAGTGGGGGTGGCAGATGGTACTTAGACAGGCTAAGCTGTGTACTTCTGTCTCTGTAGAGATTAGAAACCAGGTGCTCCCTTGTAAACGTGACTGCAGGCCAATCAATAAAGCCTTTGTTAAGTTTATCTTCTTTGATTCTATTCTCTTTAATTCTATTTAACCAGCTTGAATTTGGAATCAACTCCAAGATGAAACAACCTCTAGAGGGCATCAAAACATTCCAGTTCAATGGATTAAGTGGTGTAAATTTATTTTGAATAATCATTATTCTCCATTTAGGATTTTCTGGTCTTTGGATGATCTTTAGGCTTGTTAGAAAATATGCAACAAAACCCACAAATGATACATCAAGCTATACAGAAAAAAGCAGCTGTGATCAGTGTAATCTCCTCTGTGTGGCCTCAGAGTAAATCCAAGAGTAAGAGTGGCTTAGTAAAGCGTCCCTTCAGACATTGTACAGTGACTGGAGCAGCCAGAACCAGTGCATCCAACCTATGAAACCTGCTTAGAGGCATTTTGGAAATAGACTTTCATAAACCAAGAGGCTCACCAAAGCTAAAAAAAGTGTGAAGCAGCTTGGTCTTTTATTAATATTGTCAAGAATATATCCCATACATCCCATCATTTAATTCTTATTCATATTGCTTGTTCTTGCTAAGTTAACCCTTGAAGATTTAGGCATGCTACATTCACAAAGGATATTTTGTGAGGTTTTTTTTCCATACAAGTAGGCTAGCTTAAATAGTTTTATAGTGCTGTCTACATAACTGACAGTTGTGTTTATGGTACAATATTTTTTTTTTTTAAAGTATAAACCATGTTGTTCCATAAGATTGGACCCTTCTTTTGTTGAACTGTCAACTGAAAGTGTAAACCTTTCTAAATCTGACAGAGCAGGAAGCTGCTGCTAATGCTAGCCAGGGTTCTCAGGAAGTAGCTGCTAATGCTAGCCAGCATTCTAACAAAGTCATTTCCTGGACCAGCTGGAACAGTGGCTGTTTTGGTCCAAGAGTTTTTCCTAACATAATCTATGGACTGGTATTGTTATTTTTTTTAAAATAATAATAAAGATACAAAAAAGCATATTTGTCACAGATACAAAGCAGAGTTAAAAGAGCGAGGAAGTATTGAAGCTGGGACTAGCATAACAATTTGGGTTATTTTGACTATAAGTCTAGTGCTGGTGATATTCTGTTTGTAGTGTTCAAGAACCAGGACATATAACATCACTTCTTTTCTTTTGACGGCTTCCCATTGATCAGGCCGGACTCCCAGCGTTGCCAGAGAGAAGCTTTCTGTCCTCCTGCTCGGTGAACTTTTGGCTCCTGCTGTGAGATAAGACGAAGAAAAACAAAAACAACCTGGATTTAGAGTGAGAGATTAGCTCCTGCTTTCTCAATTCACAATCAATTATACTTATCCAAGCATTTCTACAACAAAGAGGATACTTTAAACTTAATGTTTTTCTTTTATTTGTTTAGTATTTGTTTAGTATTACAAAATTTGAAATTCTGAGCTCTGTAGCAACTCTTTTCAATGCTTCTGTATGGAATTCAGTGCAATACACAAAACAGAACCTTTTTATAATCCTCTGTTCTTGCCAGTGTTTAGCAATACATCCAATAGTTTTACAGAACAATGAAGAAAACAGTAAATGTAGAATTAAGGCTTGTTGCAGGTGAATCACCTCTATCTGCTCCAGTTTTATCTGGTCCTTTTTAGAAGGAGGTGGCCAAACCCGCTCCAGTTTCCCCCGTGACTGTTTCCTGCTGTCTGTAGGACAGAAAGAGAAAAAGAACAACTAAGTAGCTCAGTAGCTAAGCTACTATATTTGGTAAGATTAGCAGCTCTCTACTGCTTAGACTGATTTTAGAAGTTTTAGGGTAGTTCTGAGAATCTACACAGTTCTATTGTAATGACAGTAAGTAATTGAGCTTCTTTATTTCCATGCCTTCTAAATGGCTCAGCAAATAGTAAAGATACCAATGCTTTCCCAGACACACGCAACTTCGGTGTCATTCATTTAGCATACTATATGTGTAGCAATCACAAAGTCAGCTGGACGCTTGTACATTGCAATGATACCACTTACATATCTAGGAGGGAAGTGAGCACTTTAGAACGACAGATTCTTTCAAAAATGTTTCACAAACCTTTGTTTTTGATATGCACGTAAAGGATTCTAGGCTTATTTTGTATTATTTTTTAAATCACGTTAATATTTTCAGCGTGAAATTTTTTGCTTGTCGGGCTTTATCAGTGTATCTGGGTTAAACAAGTACAAAGTTTCCTCTTGTAAATGTTTAGGATAACACAAAACAGCTTCTTTGACCTTAGGAATGACTCTTTCTTGCTTCCACATATTACTGACATTTGTAGCTTTGTCAGCATGACCTGGAATCAACTCAATCTTCAACAACAGCTGCTGATGACTAAATTCTAACATGGTGATACTTATTGACACACTCCCTTGATTTCTGAGTTCTCATGCAACAGGAGAAAAAAATGCACACAAGCTACACTTCATATAGTTCTTTCAAATAGGTATTTCAGCGGGCTGAACTGATTTTTATTTGCACCAGGCTATAACCAAACTAGAATTTTCCAGGTAGTGCCATTCATGTTCTCCCTCAGCCAACGTTTAGATCAGACAGCTGACAGCATGATGTGCCCTTAACCATCAGTGACAGGAATGACAGTGAGTTGTTGATAACATGTCTGGGATAAAACTATGTGATGCTAATGTTGAGAAGCATTCATTAAAGTGTTCAGACTAAGTGTCAAAAGGCATGTGGGATGAATAAAGACCGAATTGGCTCTTGTTTTCCCTTGATGGGATTTTAGAGATCTTATGCTTCACATTGTCAGCAATGTTTAGCTAAATGAGCAAATTAGGTTAGAGCTCATGCAATTGCTTATCACTGATGGAAGGCACTCACATGTCAAATAGTTGTAGTCAAGTAAAAAGTATATTTTTCTGTGAAAACTTTGGAGTATTCTTTAGTCGAGTAAAAGTCAAATCATGCCAAAATTATATTATATAGTAATGTTCCTCAGTAAATAGTATAAAAAGCTGTCCTTAACCTCCTAGGACTTGGCGTCCATATATGTCTAGACTAAAATACAAAATTTTGCTCTACAAGGGCCTGATATCCACTTACGAGGACATTATACTGCCACTATTCTATCGAAATTTAAAACAAATGTCCTCATATGTGAATGTCATTTTTCTCAGAAACAAAAATCAGGTAAAAGAAAATATGGTAATTCTTTGTTTTTACAATTATCAGGTCCCAATCAGCCCAAATAGCATAAAGAAATTAAAAATGCATGCCATGAAAGTTCAGGTCTTAGGAGGTTAAGAACTTTGCTAAGTAGTATAAAACTGATGTTAAACAGGTGCATACTAACCTGTTGGGAGTGTTTGTGACTTTTGTTCATCTTCACTATTCTGTCTCTTCTCTCCATACAGACTGCGTCTCTGCTTGCGCAGCTCCTCTTCTCTTTCTTTGGCTTCTCGGATGTCCTTCTCTACCTCTGGTTGTAGAGCCAGGGCTGGGCGCAATTTGAAGAATGGGTTTTGCTTGAGGATTGAAGACTCTTTGTTTGCATTTGCTGCCTTTGCTTTACCCTCCACAGCTAACGTAGAGAAGTCATTGCTTATAGAGTCCATGCTTCTGTACAGGCGAATGTTTTTGTCTTGTTTTGGGTAAGGGGATAAGCGAGTTTTGTCTCGTGACCCTCCAGTTGGGCTCTTTGATCTGATGCTGTCAGGACTTTTTTCCTTCTCAAGATTTGCAGATTGGTACAGCCTAAGGGAATGTGCTCTGGAAACAGGACAAGTTTTGAGGGAAAACATCTCAAGGCTACGTGTGCGCTCTAGCACTGAAGGGTAAATGTGACCTTTCCTCAGAGTTGTGGGGGATTTACGGTGTCTTGTTGGACCCTCCGGATTGTCCTGCTGGAAGGCTTCAAACAGCAGTTTTGTCTCTTTTAACTGGCGGATCTCTCCTTTGCTGTACCCCCCTGGGATTTTACCTTGATTGACCAGCACTAGTTCTCTCTGAATATCCTGACTTATCTCTTTGAGCATCTTCTGTTCAGAGAATTGCCACTCGTTGCATTGGCTTGTACCTACCTTGGTAGTGAGTGACTCAAGAGAGATATCTGTTTTAAAGGGAATCTCCAGCACATCTGGATTTTCTGCAAGATTGAAAACACCTCCAGCTCTCTGCAGCTTCTGCTTCCCCTGGGCTGCCTCATGGAGCTGCCTCTCCATGTAGGTTTCAGCAGCTGAAAATCGGTGTCCAGTGGAAAGAAATGGAATTTCATTAGAAGTTTCATGAGGATTACTGGGAGTCAAATCTGTAGGCTCCCAGCTATCACTCTGATTGTCATTAGAGTCACTCGGATCTATTCTGACAACCCTCTGGTCTTCTTCTGACTCTCCTGGAATTGTGGATGAAGATGTCCTTGCTCTTGTTTGAATGTCTTTGTCCTCATTATTTTCCTTTTCCATCAGGCTCACCTTTTCTTCATCTTCCTTAAGAGTTTCGAATCTGCCTTCTTCCCTCTCTTCTTCACTAGGTATATTCTCTGTTTCAGTCCCAAACATGCCCTTTTTTTCATCCATCATGACAGCCTGCTGTTGGGTATCAGCGTTCTCTGACATTTTCACATCATGTCGTAGCTGTACCAGCTGCAGACGATGAAGCAGTTGCTCACCTTGTTGGATATCAGTAGATATTTTCCTGCTTCCATCCTCTTGCTCCCCCATTGTCTCTCTTTCTTCAGAACCTTTGGAGCTGGATAGCACTTGCATTTCTGTGCTGCCGCTTTCTTTCCTCACACAGTCACACTTTATGAGGTTATAATCCAAAGATGTACGGTCATCATGCTCTTCATTGTCTTTGTCCGTATCTGTTTGGAAGTCAGCAGCCTGTGCCTGACTGGTTGCTGTATCGGTCCTGTTTTGGTTGCATTTACAGAGCTTGAAATCATCATCGGAATTTGCCTCCACACTCTCGATAGCTATACTTTCTCTTAATAGTTTTAAGTCTGTTTCATCCAAATCACCAATGTCCTTGTGTTTTATTTTGTCTCCGTCTTTGTCTAAATGGATCTGATTCTCAGAGTCTTCTCTGTGGTTTGAATGTGTTTGTTTTGAGTAATTGTCTTCCTCCGTATTGGCTTCCCAGCAGTTTCCCTGTTCTTCACTTATAATTACAATGTCCTCAGGTTTGTCATTCTCTGTTGCTTTATTCCCGTAAGGTCTTCGATCTGTATCATAACCAGTTTCCATCAGACAGCCAGTCACATCCATGGATTGTTGTTCTTGATAAGTTGGTGGAGAGGAGTCTTGTTCATTGGATATGTTGGCCATAGACAACTGCACTGCACTTGCAGTCACCTCTTCATCCAGCTCGTTTTGTGCTACCATTAACTGCTCCTCACTATGAGACAAGTCTAAGCCTCTTGGATTAGCTTCAGCCTCTGTTGCGTCAACTGAAAGGGTCACACCAGACTTACTTGCTGTTGCACCTGTGCTTTTCTCTGCTGGCAGCGATGTAGCCGTGCGAGGTGGAGGAGGTGGTTGAGGGATGAAGACATCATCTGCACCTTCATCATCCATCACACTGTAGTACCTCATTATAGCAGTGGGAGCAGCAGAGATCGTTGTGATTTTGTCTTCAGAGGTCGCTGAAAAATTCTCTGTGTGGTTGCTCACATGGTTTGAATCCATCTTCATCCACAGACCACTGTCATCATCAGAAAGTAGAATTTGAGGGCTGCGTCTAGGACCTCTTGCTTCCATGTTGAAACGTCTTTGAAGCAGTTCGTGGTGTTCTGTCTGCGTTGCCTTTTAATAAAATTTAAATAAGAGACATGAGTGTCATTGAGGCTTATAAGCGTCAGTGCTAGTAATTGTTATTATTATTATTACTGCTGTTAGAAACTATAAGAAAGAAAATGCCTTTTTAGTTAACATTATATCTGCGACATTTGGCAACGATACGGTATTATTGTACAATGCATTGTCTAATCTTACTATTTACAGAAACCTCTAGTGCATTATCTGTTAAAAGCAGTGTACTAGCAGAAAATTACCAGTGTGTGATTTGATCTTTGTGCAGTTTTTCTTTCTTTCTTTCTTTTTACAGTGCAGTATAGCATTTCTTTTTGTCTAGTAACAGTACAGTAACTGAACCTTAAAGTTCTTAAATTAGATTTTGATACAAGGAACCTGATAATACAGACCTCAGGATCAAGCTATACATTAGGACTCATCCACACAAGTGCCCTGTGTTGCCATATTGTCTGCGGTTGTGCACCAATTATTGCAAAAAAAAACACAAAACAAAACAAAAGAAAAAAACACAAAAATTTTAAGATGTGTAGCAACAAAGGCAGTGAAAAGTGCAAGTTTGTCTTTGACAATAATGAGTAAAGAATGACAGAGTTTCACACACTGAAAATGAAACCCTTTTTATTTTATATAAAAGGACTATGGGGTACTATTAAAGGCCTTTTCAAGTAAGCACTACTTAGGTGGTCGATGTTCATAAAAAATTCCTGGTGAAATTAACTAAACTGTGTCTTCGTAGTTTTGATATATGACCAAAAATCTCAAAATGTAGGATTTGTTTAGCTGCTGATCTGGTTGGGATCAAAACAACAGCAGACTTAAAATGGACCAAAAATAGAAATACGTTTATCCGTCCATCCATTCATTTATACGTCCTGTTTTTTTCTGTTTTTGTTTTTAAATTACTTTGTGTTTTGGTAGCTTTTCTCTCCTATTCAGGTCAAGTACAGACGTTTCTTCTGACGAAGGAAAAAAAGTAATGTCATCATAATGCAAGTCTGCCTTAAATTCTGATTTATCTTCATTCTGTCTGAACTCATCAAGCTAATTTCTGACAAGTACTGTGAGATGTTTGCAAATAGAACCTCAACAGCTATTTAAACACGTACTGTACATTTACTCTGAACATCACACAATAATTTGTATAATTATTTAATAATTCTTTCAAGACATGCTTAGATATGGAAATGTATGTCCTGGCATAATCTGGTTTATTGAGCTGCAGGTTTTAAATCTAAGAGTCTATATTTACACCTGTATTCAGGGGCTTAATGCCAGCCACACTGCAGTTAAGGATTATCAACAGGAGTAACACCACGCTGTTTATAAAGCTCAAGCAACAGGACATATTAATGCACCTTAATGAGCTTAACCTATTTATTCCACCGTGCTTTAGAGGAACACTTTCCTTTCTATCGTTGCTGTGAAGAGTTTTGGAGATCTTTTAAATATTATAATAGTCTGAATATTGTAGTTATTTGTAGTTCTTTAAAATACCTCCTTCTCCTTAAGTGACTGTGTAACATTATATGGAATTTTGCAATTCCATTACCCACTATATGATTGGTAGTTATTCCTGTAGTATGGATACACTCACACACAGTCAGCTGTTCTTACTCATATTTGTGCTGTGATAATATGACTTCAGCTTTACCTATCTATCTATCTATCTATCTATCTATCTATCTATCTATCTATCTATCTATCTATCTATCTATCTATCTATCTATCTATCTATCTATCTATCTATCT